GCGACTATATGTTTTCTTCTTTATTTATATAAAGAAGAAAACATATAGTCGCGAAGACTAAAATGCTTATATCTCTCTATACACTGGGCCGAATTTAACGTTTTAACCGCCATTCTGATCGCAAGACACTCCTCTACAACTTTACTTAGGTATCTAAAAGAGGTTTACTTAGTAAGGAAAAAACGTTTTCTTTGGGAAACTCCAGATTCCAAAGACAATAATAAATTTCCCCACTTTTTACTATATGTTTTCACTGGTTCACTGGCGGATCACGAATTAAATAAAAAAATTAAATATTATTTTAAATAAAAAAAATTAAAGTTATTATAGTAATTAATAAAAATAAATAAATACTTATAGAGTACTAAGTATTTAAAAATATTATTAGCAAGTGCTTATTTAATAATGCTGTTTAATTTATATAAAATAATGGTTGTTTAGCTTTCTGATATCAAGATTATGATTATATTAAGAGTGACTATAATGAGGGCTGACTGTACTATCTAATCTAACACCCGATATTAGCAGGCTTCGACTGAGGCGTGATGAGATTTGAATCGAGTAATTAGAGTGTTTGATTAGAGCTTTATACTATGTCACGAAGCTCTAATTCAGGATTACGGAGTTAGAAATTTATTTATTGGGAAGAAGAGAGTTAGTAGAACGAAGTACTTTTTGTAGTTGAATTCTAACTGTATTATCCTTTATTGAAGGGAATATAGATCACTTATATACTTTTAGGTTAGATGCATTGATGATATATACTAAACGATTAATACGAATCAGATAGATTACATTCACAACATTTCTTAATAAGACACATTTGACAAAGTAATTTTTCTGTTCTTGTCGAACATATTTTGTATAAACCAGGTGCTAATGTTCTTAACATCATTATATATATAAATAATATTTTCATAATTTAAGTAATTATACTTGATGGAAGAAAGTAACAAACCTTTTAAGTTCTCAGATATTTTAACACTTATTTATTATGCTTCATATAATAAATCCAACTCACATATTTTTATGTTTACTGGGTTTACCTAATTTTAAAGCTATAAAGCTTCTAAACTAAATTTTAAAATCAAAGGTTTATTTATCTTATTTTAAATCTACACTCTAATTACGCTCGACATGTTGATAAATTATATTGACTTCTTCAAAAAATTATGGTCATTATAAACTCTAAGCTACCATGCAATTTTGTCACATCAGATTCCTGATGTGATTGGCTAACAGCTGTTATACAAAATTTTAACCTACATTACATAATTGTTATATAATTTTTGACCAGGATTAACCTTTTAATTTTTACTTTTACTAAAACGCATGTACCTATGGTGTTTTACCACATATGCTGCATTATCTTAAAAATTAGTTATTTAATTAGTGTGTGATGTTCTAAGTAAAAATGCTCTACACCCCAAAAAAATAACCCAAACCCCCAAAACTAACACAACGTGAAAAATTTGTGCTAAAAATTTTATATACAAACCTTATAAAAACAGAAAATTAATATATATATATAACAGGTACAAAACCACCATAGGTGCGTTTTATAATAAATAAACAATCGTACTCGCAAAATTTATATAACAATAAAATTTATAAGTTAAATTAATGCTTCATTATTAATAAAATTACTAAATTTATGCAGTAATACTTTACAAAAAAAATACTAAAATTTTTATACAATTTATAAAGAAGAATCATCTCTTAATCTAATCCTAACTTTCAGACCATGAACCTGAGTCAAACCACTATAATAGTGTTTTATCTTTTCATCCTTTAATTCTATGTTATACTTTCTATAAAATAGAACAACTAAAGATTTCAACATATTCATAGCCGCTAATTTTCCGGCACAAGCTCTAACACCACAACCGAACGGAGTAAAAGAAATCTTTTGAAATTCCGAAAGTTCAGACGAGCCACCATGATTTTTACTTAAAAATCTATCAGGATTAAAAGTTTCATTATCTTCCCAATAATCAGGATCATTACAAAGAGTTTGATTATCTACCCAAAATCTAGTTCCACTTGGCCAATTATATCCAGCAATATTTTGAACACCATCAGAAACTTTAGTAGTATATGGAACTAACAAAACAATACGCAAAGATTCTTTAATCGAAGCTTCAATGTAACAACAATTATCGAGTTTTTCAAGGGTGAATTCAACGTTTGGATCAGGACCAAAAACTTCATCGATCTCTTTACGAATCTTGACAAGAACATTTGGATTTTTTGCAAGGTAATATATTAAAAAACTGAATGAATTACCGGTCTGTTAAATGCATAAACAAAAATAAGAACAAATATGATATGTGTTAGATATATATTATTATATGTATATCTATTATATATACACTTTATATATATAAAAAGATTGTTGTTAGCATTTACCGTATCAGTAGAAGCTATGAGAACATCCCACATAAGAATAGTAACTTCTTTAGCAGTTATTGGAGTCACATTATCATCATTTTTAGAATCAGGATCTTTTAGGGTATGAGCAATCAATAGATGATCTAACAAATCTGAATCTAATTCAGCACCATTTTCAAGTTCTTTCTTTCTTTTAATAACAATATTATCCACAACATCATTCAAACAATTAATATTGCGTTCGCAGCTCTCTCTATAATGGCTAAAACCTGGTACATAATCCATTACAAATTGAGGGACGAACATAAAAAATCCAAGTGATTGAAAAAATTTATTTACGTCTTTAGTGAACTCTAAAGATTTTTTGATTTCTTCAGTTTGAACTAATTTATTATTTGTGTCAAATAAAGCTAAACAATAAGAACGTTGTTTTGTTGTTTGAAGAGTCTGAAGATCAGTTAGGAAATATCTTATCCATTCCCTAAAATCAAACTCAAATCCATCTTTTATTTTCGATTTCCATCTTTTTTCAGATGCTTTGAAATGGGTTTGAATACACCTCGTAAGAATTTCGTTGACATTAATGCACGGGCTGTTAATCTTCTCCTTCGATGCCATGAATCATAATTATTACCAAAAAATAATCCATTGTTAAGTCCTATTCTTTCAAATGTTGGAAAGGGAACTCGTTTAAAGAGGCTTTTATTTGGTTTGCAAAGTTTCTCAGCATGTTTTGCATGATTGATAACTATGTTTTGTTGGGAACCAATGTAAAATTTCCAAATTGCACCGGCCTTTTTCTTATTTTTGTTATACCATGTTAGGGGATTCATTCCAACTATATGAATCGTCCCGAGTATAGGGATCGGCATGGGACCTGGTAATGGATTAGGACGCGTAAAATATTTATAGTAGAAGTTTGATACATAAATTATCAATAATACTAATATAAGGGAAGGCCAATCTGTCAAGCAAGTGCTTAAAACTGATAAAAACGACATTTTTATGAATATCTTCTCTTTAATAAAAGTTCTTTCAACTCTTAGGAACTTCTTTTTGTCAAAACCTAATTACACACATACGTACGTTATCTTTTATATATCAAGTACGAACGCGATGTTGATTGAATAGTGACACAAAATATTCGATATAAGTGATACGTATCACATTTGTTTAAAAATTCGGCACAAAATTCAAATATTTATGCGGAGTGATACAAAGCCAAAAAAAAAAACCACTAAAAATTTTGAGTTAGAATATTAAGTTCATAAGAAAAATTAGCCATTTAAATACCTAAATTTCCATTTCCATCTCTTTTGAATTAATGTAGTAAAGTAAATTTTAAACACTCATTCTATCGTATTTTCGCTTTTTTTCATATATATAGGCTTTATCTGAAATAAACAAATTTTGTTTTCCGATTTATAATCGCATTTATCCGCACATGATTACAGCAATACTTGTGAATCACAAATAACATAGGATTAGACCATATATGGTTTCTTTTTGATTTTTTTGTACAATAGCTGATAGAAAGTACGTACTATTGTCACTATCAAATATGAGTTCATATGGTTCGGTTGGTTTCAAAACCCTGTTTTGAGATTAAATTAAGCCAAATGATTGGTGCAAAGGGAAAATGTGAATTTGAAATTTCAATTTTATCATTGATTATTTATTGGATTCGGCCTAAGAAAAATCCGATTGATTTATATGATATATGATTACGTACCATATACCGTATTGTATGTTACCGTCAGATTTTTAAAGGACTGAATCTGATAAATAGTGTAAATCGGGTTTAGTATTTTTTTTAGAAATATTAGTCTAGATTATAGATTTCTAATTTGGCTATATTATATAGTTATTATTATATATTTTTAGTCATTTATTAATTAGTATTATTGTTGCCTTAATTATGACGGGATAACACTCGGAGGATAATAATTGTTGGGAAGATCGTACGATGTCTCAAAGATACTAGTGTATATATTGTTAGATTAAGAATATGATTATACTTTGAACCTTTCCTAATAAAAGAGAATCCTTATGACTTGTCCCGAATTCATAATTTGTCCTTCTAAATGCCTGTTTATCATAAATATCTAATTCTTTTGAAGCTTGAGTTCCAAGCCAAGTCTATAAATTATGTAATCATCATCCGAATCCTATATTTGCCCTTGACTGTCGTTTTCACGATGCTTTCCCGACTGAGCAAACATTTATTGCTTATATGTTAGCCTTATTGGCCATTGTAAATATATAATTATTAATCATATATCTGATATTTTAAATTTCAATTAATAAAGTTTTTTGTTGACAGAAAAAATTGATACTGTTGATTTATGCATTTATATACAGTACAAAATTTGCGATTAAGGCATATACATGCCAAACTACAGTGATATAGTTTTGTTTTATCCCAAACCTAATATATAATCAATAATCATTATTTAAACAAATAGTATACATTTTAATGTTTATGTATAATATATAGCATTTACAAATATCTTTGATAAATTTTTTATAAATGACTATTATTTTTGTAATTTTTCTGGAATAAAGAACCACGAACAATATACAGTCATACCTGAGTTATATCCCCACTGGGTTATATCCCAACCTGAGTTATATCCCCATTTTTTAGCAGAATAAATTTCCTTTTTTTATATAGTTTTATATTGAGTTATATCCCCACCTTAGTTATATCACCAAAAATGCTCTGGAAAAAAGGGGTGATATAACTCATGTATGACTGTATATTTTTTTCACAATATTTCATCATTAACTATTGAAATAACAAAACATGCTTGATTTTGCAATTTATTTACTGAATAAAATATATTTTTTCACAATATTCATCATAACTATAGAAATAACTGTATTTGGGAGGCCCCACAGCAAAAGGTGGCTATGGGCTAAAAAATTTTTTTCTGTAGTTTTTTGAAATTATGTTCTAAATGATCTAATTTTTGCAAAAATAAAGTTTTTACAAAAAAAATTTTTTTTGCCCATAGCCACCTTTTGCTGTGGGGCCCCCCATTTATAGATTAATAAACATTTTTTAAATATTACATTAGTGAATTAAAATGATTAATACATACGTGAAATAGCTTTATATTAGTCATCAGATTGAAAAATTGATTGAGGTAGAATCTAAAAAATTAAAAAATAAATGATTTTACCAATTAAAATTGAGCATATGTATTATAATAAACGTAAGTATTTACCATAAATCTTCGACGATTTTACAGGTGAAATAAATGAAGAATTTAGTGGTTCAGAAATATTTTTAAAGTTAAGCAATTTACTTGTAAGTTTATTTTTAGGATAAATTGGCAATTCGGTTGATAACGTTGGAATAATAGCATCGGCAGATTGGAATGCTTTTAATATTTCTAGTTCATTTTTATTCTTTGCTACACCATTATCTACTATTCTATACCATCTATGCAATTCATCATAGATATCATCTGCAGTTGGTCTATTAGAAGGATTAGCGTCCATGCAAAGATTTACTAATTGGATATAGCACTCAGGAGTGCCTTCAGCAAATTCAGGACGTAGTCCTTTACATATTTCAATAGCCAACGCTTCATCATACTCAATATCGTAATGAGGTGGTTTTCCTGTAGATATTTCTGCCATAATAATTCCAAAACTATATATGTCTGATGCTATTGTATATAATCGTTTATTTAACACTTCAGGGGCAACATAAGGCAAAACCCCATAAATACTATCTTCTAAATCTGATTCATCATTCTTTCTAGATAATCCAAGATCAGCTATATAAGATATTAAACCTCCATTAATATATTGATTTTGCAATATATTACCGCTATGAAAATCTCCATGAACATATCCTGCTTCGTGAACTTTCATTAAATTTTCCGATATATCGACAAGTTGCTTTAATTTATTTTTCCAATTAAGTTCCCTAAAATTTGATAATAAGAACTTATGAAGACTTCCTTTATTTGCATATTGAAACACCATCAAATATTCATTAGTAGTCGTATTTCGAGTTAGTCCATACACCTCAAGATTACTACCCACTAATCTAAATTCTGTATAACTTCTGAACTAGTTAATTAAATAGAATTTATAATTAACGTTAATAATTTACCTATTAAGTCATAAATAATTTAACTTACTTCTCTTAAAAAATTCTTTTGTGAACCTGGTAATGTCTTAAGTGCAACTATACATGATGGTGTACGTGATCTCTCATCATTATATGAAATCACTCTTTTACCATCTAGCCACGTTGCTGAAAACACGGAGCCAAATCCCCCTTCACCAATCTTTTGAACGTTATCTAATCTATTAAAAGGAATCCACTCGATCACATCTTCATGTTCTGTGGCTTTAGATTGAAATTCTTTAATGCAGTTATCGACATCTTTATTTCCACTTGTCCATACTTGTATTGTTTTTTGAGGGTCACATGTTCGACACCAAGCGTAATATGTGTTATATCGGTCGCAATTTGCACATTTCCCATAATCTACATATCTTTCGAAATCGAAAACTAATATGTACTCGTTAGTTGAAGTATCTTGAGTTAGTCCGTATACTCTAAGTACGTCATCATTTGATTGTATGAGATCTTTAAACTTATAAATAAATAGAACATTTCTTAAATAAAAAAATTATTCGCAATGAAAGTACTGTAAAAATTAACTTACTCTGCCCAAAAATTCCAATATATTTTTAGATTCATGCAATATTTTAAGGTTTACTCTATACGATGGGGTACGTGACTGTGTTGGAATTTTGCTATTTTTATTTTTATATTGAATTAACCGTACACCATCTAACCACTGAACCAGACTGCAAAAAATTCATCACCAACTTTTTGAATATTATCTAATATATTAAAAGGAATCCATTCAATTACGTCTTCATAGTTTGTAGCTTTAAGTTGAAATTCTTTAATGCAATCGTCAATATTTTTATTTCCACTCGTCCATCCTTGTGCTGTCTTCTGAGGGTCACATGTCTGACACCAAGCGTAAGATGTGTTATATCGGTTGCAATTTGCACATTTTCCATACATCCCCTTTTTTTTGGAACCAAATTCATTAAATACTAACATATATTTATTAGTTGTAGTGTTCTGAGTTAATCCAAAGACACTTTCACTTTCTAATTGCAATTGATTTTTAAACTTATATACATAAAATAGAAGGTAAGTTTATAACATTATTAATTAAACAATCTATGCAAAATAAAATTACCTTACTTCTTTTAAAACATTTGATAAATTTTGTGAACTAGTCAATATTTTAAGCTCCACTTTATATGATGGCATACGTGACTGTGTACATTTGCTAACATATCGTATTCCATCTAACCAGGTTGCTAAAAATATATCATCTATCTTTTGAATATTATCCAATCTATTGAAAGGAATCCATTCGACTACGTCTTCGTAGTTTGTAGCTTTAAGTTGAAATTCTTTAATACAATCATCGACATCCTTATTTCCACTCGTCCATCCTTGTGTTGCTTTCTGTGGATCACATGTTTGACACCAAGCTGGCGATGTGTTATATCGGTTGCAACTTGCGCATCTTCCCTTAGAACTGTATCTTTTAAAATCAAATACTAACATGTAGTCGTTTGTTAAAGTGTCATGAGTTAGTCCGTATACTTTATGCTCACTATTCTTTGATTGAATGAAATCTTTAAACTTATAAATGTATTAATAAAGCGAATATGTATAAATAATAAATTAATTTTAACTTATTTTATCTAAAAAATTTAATGAATTTTGTGAATCATGTAAGGTTTTAAGTATCACTTTACATGGTAATGTACGTGACCGTATATATTTATATACATTTCCTACATATCGTTCACCATCTAACCAGGTTGCTAAAAATTCATCACCAATCTTTTGAATATTATCTAATCTAGTAAAAGGAATCCATTCAATTACGTCTTTGTAGTTTGTAGCTTTAAGTTGAAATTCTTTAATGTAATCATCGACATC